TTAATTGAATATTAACTATTTATTTTAGCAATGACTTTTATATAACTGATTTTTTTACATTAAAATTAATTTAAACATCTTTTTTGTTAATATAATAAGAGAAACTTTTAACAAGTTTATTCTATACAATCTTTGTTAAAAATGTAACACAATTGTTTAAATTTTCAAACATTTTGTTTTTATAGGTACTTATAAAGCAAAGTTTGTTTAAAGAAACTTTAAAAAAGTTTTTCAAATTTTATAAAACATACAGTTATATTAACGATTATTTGTTATTCAAAAATAATCTTTGTAAAATTCTTTCATATTAAATATTTAATTCAACTATTCAAACCTCTTTTAAATAGTATTTTTGTTATTTAAATACATTTATGAATATTTTTTAGTCTTATAAAACATATTTTTTGATATTTTTAACACATCATTTTTTAAAAAGTTATTATTTTACTTTTTTAATAACATTAGTATATTTATTAAAAAATATTTTTACCTTTAAATAAATAAGAGAAAAGAAAAGAACAAGGAAATAATTTTTAAAAAGACTTTAAATTATTCTATAATTTATAAAGTTTATATACTTAAGAGTAAATACAAACAAAGTTTCATAAAGTGTTTATTTTTACTCGTTAATAAAATGAAAGTTTTTAAGTAAGAGAATTAATTTTTTTAAAATGTAAACACCTTTTCAAATAAATCACTATACAATTTGTGTCGTCTGTATACAAGAAAATAATGAGGTTAAACTACATAATTTTTTAATTTTTTGATATAAAATTTTTTAAAAAGATCATATTGATTTTCTATGATATCCTAACTTTTCATTTATAATTTTTAAAACAGACATTAATATTTAAAAGGTTACATTAAATTTACTATAAAATCATATTATTTATTATAAATTCGTTTTCAATTATAAATTTTATACTTTAATTCTTTTATAAAAATATATCCTTTCTACCTTTATATGTTGCTTTATTAAATAAAAAACCTGTCTTGACTATTGTATTTTATTTGTAATTAAATTTATTTCAAAACTTTTTTTAGTTATATGATGTCATTCATCACGTAATATATTAAGGTTTTAGTTAACACTAAAAAAAATAAAAACATTTT